GATTGAAATGAGGATGAAGTGGTTTGTTATTATCACACCATGTATTTATTGTACTTTCTGTGTGAACAAGAATTGAATTAATTGAAGTTGGATTTAAAGTATCTACAACAAATAATAATGACTTAATTTCATTATTTAATTTTATTTTAAATAATTCTGATGATTGTGGTAAATTTAATAACAATGCTAAATGTCCAATACTTTCTTCCCAATTTAATGTTACACATTCATGAAACATAGTAATTGAATTAATAACATCTTTATCACTTAATGTTGAACAGTCAATAACTCCATAAATCATTTGAGCATAAATAACTTTATTTATGTCATTAACAAATAAATCCCATGTTGTCTTTATAAATTTATATGAAGGTAACATATCAGGAAGGTCAAACTTCTTTTTAAATTCTCTTTCATAGCCTTGAATATTTTCTACAGTTTTAACAAAAACAAAATCATTAATACTACCAACAGGAACCATTAATATTGTGGGATTAATTAAATCAGTAAATGATCCTTGTCTATTATTTTCTTGAATAATTACTTTATTCACTTCACTTGTAATTTCAATTTTTGATTTTACAATTCTTTCAGATTTTGACATAATAGCAAGGCATCTTGTAGCAGCACAGTAAAGCTCTTGATCATCATCATCTTCTTCTGTAATTAATTCCAATAATTTCTTTTTGTCTAATAAATGTCTTATATGTGTTGGATTAGTATTATAAATTGAAGCACAAACATCAATTAATATTTTTTTTAATTTAGCACTTTTACATGAAAAGAGCATTTGAATTATTTTATTAATAAAATCCCTATCACAAACCAAAGACGAACAATCAATAGCCTTCTTAATAAATTGAAAGATAGACAGATATATTGAAATATCGTTATTCCCAGAATCAATCAATTCTTCTGTTCTTTTTACTATTGAAGAGGCTAAAGTATTTAATTTAGAATGAGGAATATTGTCCATAATATTTTCTATACACTTAACTAAAGAAGCTATATCTATTGTATCATCATTTAAATATTCAAGAAAACGATCTTCTAATAATTGATCATTATCATTACTTTGACTAAGTAATTTAAAACAAATTTCTTTTGATTTTAATATTTTATGAAGTAGTTTTAATGTAGAATATCTTGGTAGTTGTTTTAATAAATAAATGTATCCAGAATGTTCAAACCATAGTTCCCTAAAATTTGAATTTGATTTAATTAATGAAAGTAATGTACTAAAACAAAGTTCTGTTAATTGTTCAGAGATAGAATAATTCTTTTGAATATTAAGAATAAAAGTAATTAAATCACTTGCAGCAATATACTTTTCTGAAAGTGAGATTTTAGTTGAAGAAAAAATGATCATTGGGAAATGTTTAATAATAGAAGAAAATACTTCATCAAGATGAGATGGTGAAATTCCACTGATGAGAATATTTGAAAGACAAGAATATAATGTTAAGAATTGAAAAATATTTGATGAATCAATTTCAATTGGAATAGATAATAATGATAAAACATTATTATTGTTATACTTTGAATTAATAATTTGATTAGATAATGAATGAATATTAAAGTCCATTGAATTTTGGTATTGAACCAATTTTTCTTTTGGAATAAATGAACTATCAATTTGTGTTTTAACTAAAAAATATAATGAACTTTCTATTAACACTGTACTTTCAGATCCTTGTATTAAAATATCTTTTATAATTTCTTTTGTTTTCTCAAGAAGAATATTACAATTATTAATTGTCAATAATGAACTTAATGGAATAGTTAAATCATATAATTCTGTATCTGTTAAATCAATAATTGGAATAATACATTCTGGTTTAATTACTTTAGACTGAAGACATTGAAAGGCAATAAGAACTAATTTTCTTTTAATTAATAATGAAGATGGAAACTGTAATTTTTTCTCTTGGTCTTGTGGAAAAAGAGTAGATAATAATCCTGATTGATTTACAAAAGAAACTAATGCATCAGTACTACACATATAACAAAGAATATTAAGTATTTTTGATATAATTATTTCATTGTTTGAAAATAATTGAAGGTAATGTTCGAATTTAGTTAAGAAATTTTCATTAAACATTGATATTAAACAATGATAATCAACAGCAGCAAGTTCTAAAGCTTCAACACATTTTTGTGTAATAATTTCATGTGTTGGATACTTGTCAAAAATAAATCTTATCGTTTGAATGAGTTGTCTATCTCTTAATAAAATAATCCCATCAGGAGAATATAATACATGAATAACATTATCAATTGGTTCTGTTTTTCCTGTTTGAGTAACTTCATATAATTGTTTAATTAACACTTGTTCATTTACAAAAGCAGTATCAGTGGGAAACGTATCAATAGCTGGAATTAAAGATGCATTACCAGTAAGTGCGATATATCTCCATGCATGATAACTTGATTGAAGTATTTTATCAGAGGACATTGGTTGAGGATAAAGATAAGATGGACATAATATCATTAGGTCATTAACAAATTTTGTTTTTGATAAAGAAGGATTAGTAAAGATTTCGAAAGAAGAAGATGATGACAATAATTTATTTAATAAATTAAGTGATTTTGTTGAAGGTGTTTGTAAAAGTAATGTTGGTAATCGAAGGTATAACATTCGTGAACATGCACTTCGTTGAGAAGAAAATAGCATAAATATTTTTAACACATATCTTTGATAATCAACTAAGAAAGTAATTAAAAAATCTATAACATACGACGAAACAATAAGAGGAGATATAACTTTTAAATATCTCTTAAGAAAATGATAAAAATTAATTAAAACCTCTTCACTTGGTTTTATACTCAACTGATGAAGATGGTCAAAAAATTCTCGTTCTCTATCTTTTGGGTGTGTCATCATTTGATTAAGATAATACTTGCTATACTCTTCCATTTCTTTTTTGTTTTTTAATATTTTTTTTCTAGTTTTTATTTTTATTTTTTTTATTTTTTTTTTTGAAAGTTCATTCAATCCATTTTAGTTTTTCCAATTCTATTTTTATAAAAGTAGTTTTTAAATTAACTTTCATAATCTAAAAATAGTGAAATATAAAAAAGAAAAATACTTTGAGATAAAAATAAAAAGGAACGTCCGATTTAAAAGAGCAATCATCGAAGAAATCTATTTTCTTTATCAAAAGATAAAGAAAAGAACTTAGAAAAAAATAATTAACATGTCCCAACAACAACTTATTAGATTATTACAAGAAAAAGAACGTTTAATGAAAAACTTTGAACGTTCTAAGAATCTAATGAAAGTAAGTGATGCATGTTCTGAATTAGTTAATTTTACAAAAAATAAAATTGACCCATTCTCACCTGAATTTAAAGACACAAATCCTTGGGACAAAAGTAGTAATGCTGGTTGTTGTTCGTTAATGTAATTACATTCTTTCGTTTTAACTTTAATTTAAATAATTCTAAAATGTGAATTATTTCATAATTTTTTAAATATATAAACTTCCTTCAATAAATCATATTATGCTCTTATTATTTATAAATTTCAGTCATTTTTTTTTTTTGATTTTTTTTTGACATATTTTATTATTGTGTTTTGTATTACAAAAAAAAAAGAGAAGTTAAAAGAACGAAGCGAATAAAAAAATCAATAATAAAAAATAAAAAACTCAACAATAAAAAATAAAAAAATGAAAACAGAAAAAGAAAAAAATACAGGGTTTATTTAAGAAAGCACTCAAAAAAGAAGACTAAAAAATTCAAAAATGACTGAACAACAAAATAGCTCAAAAACTAAAAATGATAAAGATTCATCTATTGATTTAAGTACATTATCTATGAGACAGATCTGTAAATTAAGTCATAAAAAACAAAGTTCTATCAAAAAATTAAAAGAACTCAAACAACCATTTAATCGATATTTAGATGAAGAATGTATTGGTGAAATATCAAACGAAAAAAGTGGTGAAGAAAATGGAACAGAACATAACTCAAGTAAAAGGAGTAATTTATTAAAACCAAAGAAAAGTAAAAAATGGGATAAAGAAGAAATATTAAAATTATATACTGGCATAATGAAATATGGTGCAGACTTTGGATTAATAGAATTAATGTTTGATGGTCGTACTCGAAAACAAATAAAAGCAAAATTTAAAGCAGAAGAACGTATTAGACCAAAAATGATTGAAAAAGCTCTAAATGCTCAACAAACAATGGATACTAATTTATTACAAGAAACCTTAGACTTAATAGGAAAACAACATGATTTAAGTTCATCATCTGATGAAGTACTTCCTAGGCCTGATGTATTTTAACTGTTATTAAGATTTCTTTTTAATTAACTCTCTGTTTTATTTAATTAATATAATAATATGTTAATTCATTAAAAAAAGGAAATAAATAAAATTGTTACTACTTACCCTCAAAAAAGAAATGTGTTAAATTTTAAATATACTTTTCTTTTTTCTCTTTAGTTCTTTTTATTAATTGGCATTCCAATTGATTCAAGCATTTTGAGAGTAACTGGATCAGCAGTAATTTTATCAATATTAACTTCAGATTTTTCTGGAACATAATTATCTCTTCTTTCTCTTTCTTCTTCTTGAAGTTTGAAAGAAATTCCTCTAACTGGACCTTTTTGGATTCTTCTCATTAAATGAGTAATAAAACCAGCAATTTTATTTCTTAATCGTTTAGTTTCAACAATAGCAACTTCATCAACAACACGTTTATTAGTATGGAAGTCAAGAGTTAAAAGTGGATAATACTTTTCAATAATATTTCTTGCGGCTCTCTTAACAGTTTTAGTTCTGACTCCTCCCATTTCTGCTGTGGTTGAATCAATTTTGAAAGTTCCTTCCTTTGTTTTTAAAACCTTTTAGGTTTAAAACATTTATTTTTTTTTGCCCTTTTAATATTTCTTTTTTCTTTTCCCCTTTTTTAGTTTTATATAACATTATTTTTTATTATGTTTTTTTGTATTAAAAAAAACAAATTTTTCTATTTACCAAAAAAGAAAATTAATCATTTTTTGTTTTTTCTTCTTTATCTTCTTCTAAAGGAACTGAAGGTGTTTTAGAACGTACAACTGAATAATGAATCTCTTTATAAGTAAAGAAAATGATACCAAAAATTACTACAAAAGAAATGGTAATAATCCATCCCCATTTTACTAAGAAAGGAGTTGGAATTGATTTATATTCAGGATAACCCCACTTGAAACATAATATACCTTCAAGAAGTAAAGTAAAACCAAGAATCCAAGAAGCAGATCCAATGTCTTTAGTATTTTTATCAATAACATATTGATAACATTGTCTAAATACTAAAGGTGCTTGTAATGCTAAAACAATTAAACGGATAAGGTTTAAATAATGAGATGGTTTCAACCATAATTCTGCTTTTAAGAAGAATGAATTTAAATCAAATAGTTGGAAATAGATAATAAGAATAATAACATAAATAAATCTCTTCCAATGAGTGAACATTCCCCAATGATAACGTGTCCATGATGTAGGTGTAAATTGTCCAATAACTCTAAATATTTTTCCTTTCTTTTGCATAGGGGAAACACCACTGAAATTATATTCTCTTAATTCAAAATATTGAAGCGTTTTTGATCCAAGCCAAATTCCAAGAGCATTACATCCAAAAACATCTAAAATAATATGATCCCACCAACATTCATGGAAATTTGGAAGAATGTGTTGGAAAGATAATTCCATAAATTCAAATAAAATACTGTTAAACCATGTTAATTTCCAATCACGACAAATAACACATCGTGCCCACCATCCAACAAAATGATATATTACAAATTCATCAAAAAGTACATTTTTAAAATTATTCCATTTACATGGTAATTCTGGTGTATATAATCTACAATCAATTGCATATTCTCTTTCTGGTAATGGTATACCAAGTTTTGGATCAATATTTTTTAACCATTGTCTAACATCATTTACATCTTGGAATAATAAGAAACAAATTAACATCAAATAACATAGTCCAACGCCTTGAATGCATTTCCAGAACATTGGATGAGGATGTACAAAATAACTATCTGGTAAGAAGAAAGTACACCAACAAACAACAACGAGTGACACAAATAACCATGGAACTAAATTTGATGGTGGTGAAGTGATATACCCTTTATAGTATAAATAAATTAATACTCCTAATAATGCAACCATACATAATACAGAATGTGGTCCTTTTACCCATTCATAATATGAGGTTGTATCATATTGTTCTGTAATTTGTTTTAATTCCTCTTTCATTCCAATTTCTTCTTCTTGGTCAGGAGTGACATAAACTACTTCTTGTTTTGTGGTTTGTTGTTCTGTCATTGTTTATACTTTGTTCCTTTAAAACCTCTTTAAAAACCCTGTTTTTAATATCTTTTTTGTTCTTTTGTGTGTACGTTTCTTTAAAAATCATTATTTTCTGAGCATTTAAATTCACTCAATTTCCACCTCAATTTAATGAAAATCATCTTATTATTTACCATTCTAAGATTTTTGTGATTTTCAGTAGTATGTTCAACTTTCTTTAAAACATTCTAAAAATAGTTGAGTTTTCATGCTTGTTGGAAGTTATATCTGATTCTTAATAAATTATATGAGGAAAATTTTTCATTTAAAATAGATTTTTATTTTTTTAATCATTTTCCATTATTATCAATAAAATTATCGGTTCTTTTTTACACCTCAACTTGTTTAATTAATCTTATTATCATGTATTTCTGTTATCACTTATTTTAATTACGTTATATTAAACTAACTATTTCATTTATTATTTTGTATTAAATTTCTTGCTTTATCGAATTATTTTTAATTTTACGATTTACAACCTAAATTTAACTTTTAAATAAAAAGTAATTAATTAAGTGTTATTACTTTTATTTTCGATTATTCATTGTTCAACAGAGAATAACCACATTACCTCTTTTTAATAATGTTTATTCATCAGTCATTCACTTATTCTTTAAACTTTTATCATGTTGAGAAGTGAGAATTTCTATTCATCATTCTTTTCCTTCTTTTGACTTAATGTTTTTTAAACTTCATCAACTTAAATAGTTCTTCATTAAAGTTGTTATCTGATTTTTATTTTGAATTTAATTGGCATTAAAACAATCATTTTCTTCTTCTTTATTTTACTATGAAAGACTATTTTCTCACCACTATTTTCATGAATAATTTCATTTATTACCAACTACAACATGACTATCATTTTTCTTTGATAATACCAATATTATTAAATATATTTATACACTAACAATTACTTAATACTATTATCTTTAAAAATACAAACGCTTCTATTATAATAAATAATATATCATCATAATAAATAATAACCAATATCATCATTTCAATATTGAATAAATTATTTCAACTTATATAAATAATTATTAATTAAATTTATATTAAGTATACGAAGTAAAACATAAAAATGAAGAAGAGTTTAGTTTGAAAATAACTATAATTGTTTTTTTCTTATTATTTTTGTGGTTAGTATTATCTTTTTATATTTAGTTAATCTGTTATTTTGAATGATAATAAAAAATATTTCATTTTATCTTTCATCATTTATATTTATTTATTACACTAATTGTATTCATTATTAAATTACTCATATTTTGTTCAATAGATTTATTATTATTATTTATTTAATCACTTGAAAATCAGAATAAAAATATGAATTTAATTAATAAAATACAATCTCAACATTCATCATTTCAAATTTAAATCCTTCTGATTATGAAATAAACAAAATATATTCGAATAACAATAAAAGTTGATGTATAATTTTATTGATATGATTATCAACTACCTTGACACTTCTTATTTCAAGAAACATTGAACAAAAAGAAAGTAAGAGAAGTAATAACTAACCAATTGATAAATATCATTGTGAAAACAGTAGTATTAAATGTTATTTATCAATTAATTAATATTTTAACAGCTTTGTATTTTGTATTTTACAATGTATAATCAAAAATATGATATTAATTTTTGACCTAAAACTTACAACAATAATAAATAATGAAAATAAATGCAGTATTCTCATTTCATAAATTCATCAATTAACAATGCATTGACAGCAAAATGAAATAAGTAACAAATATGAAATAAAGTAAATGAAAATCTGATTGATCAATAAATAATTTTTAATATACTACATCAAATAAACATACAACCAGATATAAATAATAAATATAAATAAAGAATAAGCGTTTATATTCATTTTATTTTATTGATTAAATGAAAAAAAAGATAATAATAAAATAAAAGAATAATAAAACATGAATGAAAATTGTATTTCATTTAAATTAAATAAATCATTATCATTACAGCATCTTTAATATTTTCTTTATTATATTAACATTAACTAAAGTTTAATTCTATCAATTGAATATTCATAAAAATGATGGTATTTTATTTGAAATTCTTTTATTTCATAATGGTGTTGTTATGTAAACAGTTTAAATGAAAAAAGACAAAATTACTTTATTGTGGTTTATTTTTAAGATTACTCTTTTAATAAAATGTTATTTTATTTATTAATACTCTAGAAAAGAATATCATTAATTCTTTGTCCATTATTGGTAATATTGAATATATTTGAAATGATAAAAAGAGAAACATATAATAGTATTTATGTAAAACATCAATTACTTATTTATATAAGAAGTCAATATAAAATAATAGAAAGTTTGAAAAGATTGTAGTTAACTTAGTATAATGAATGGATATTGATGTAATATTGTAAAAGCAGAAAATTGTGTTTTTAAAATAGGAAAAAGAAATTAAGACAAATAAAAACAGATAACAAAGAATATATTTTAGATACTACAAAGTGTATGAAAAATGAAAAAAGAAATTTAATAGATGAATATATGTTATGAAAATAAAAATAATAAGTATATGAGAAAAGAAAACATGAGAATTTTATAATTAAAAATAAACTTAAAGTTGATATTAAAATGTTCTTTTGAAATTGGGGTCATTCTTATAATAAAAAGATGTAATTATGTACCTCGTTCAAGTTATGAGTTGTGTTATTCTCTCTATAAATAAACACTGAATAAAAAGAGGTATTATAGTAATGTCTAAAAATTCAATTTTAATCATAATAAATGAATGAAATTCAACAACTTGCTTGTTGTTGTTATATTAATTGATATGAAAATGGATTTCACTGATAATCGATAAAACATTATACAAATATTTAAATATGATTAAATAAAACATTAACTCGAGCCACAATTTTATATCCATTAAACATTAATAATTTTTCAAAATTACTATATCTTATTCTAACTCTTCTTTTCTAAATTTAATAATTTTTAATCCATAAATGATTTAAATAACTACATATCGGACATAATCTGAAAAGTTATTTTGTTTTGATGATTTAATCAGTAGATTAAAGATATTTTTAAGAAAGAATAAACCTCTAATTAACGTAGTATAGAAACATTTCTATGCAAAAGAATTTATTGCAACTAGTGAAAAGATATATTCAATTTAGATGATATAGAGCAATGTGCTCATTAGTTCTACATAACAAACGAAATTTTAAGAAGATATGAGAAAATAAGATTA